AAAAAAAAAAAAAACACAAAACAAAAAAACCCCAAACAAACAAACAAAAAAACCCCAAAAGAACAAACATCAAAAACAAACAAAAAAAGCCTAAATTTTAAAATGCAAGGCTCAGGGAATAGAAAATTCAATATATTGGATGTTTCAAGTATCTGCCTGGAAAATATGCAGGCCCATCAAAGAGTGCATGTGAAGATCCTGATACTAGAGCTTTTTATTACTGTTTAACACCCTAGTCACTATTTGCATTTAAATAAGCCTTCTCAAATACTGAAATAGTGTGGTAACTGGTGTAAGAAATAAGCATGTTAAGAATTAGTACTAAGATGGACGAAAAGGATCAAATAAACCAAATTCCTATTAGTAATGGTAATATTGTGGCTTTTTTGGAGTTGACAATTCTTAGCATAACAGACATTCTAAATGTGATTTAGTTTCCTCAACTTATAATTTAAGTGCATTCACGTACTTAAGGGTATGGCATCTTGTACAGAGAGCACATCTGTAACATGGGACCTACAGACCAGTGCCCTTGTGGTGACAGCTGGAAGTCAGACAGAAGGTGATGGTTCACTTTTTGTCTGTGTTAAGCAACTAAATCTCATTCCTCATCTGCCAAATCAGAGAATTTGAGACAGTTCTGTCTGCTCCTACCATATATGTTTCATGATAGATTGATATTGTCTGAACGTTTTGATTTCTTGCATGAATATGGGGAAATCAATTTTCATTTAACAAGTGACTGCGAAGAGAGAGACTATCTGAGGAAACAAACCTGGAGATTACTTGTGCAATTTCTTGAGCTAAGTAGCACCATACACTGTAAGAAAGGATTCAATAGGTGCTGAGTGCCATATGGTTGAAATGAAGGCGACTACAGGATACATAGTATGTGTGGAAGAAAAATAGATTTGATTATGCAAACAAGGAAGAAAACTGGAAAGACTAAGGCAGAACTTGGTATACAGTTTAAAACATTTTTTTGTGGGCATGTAATGTAAACTTATGAAGGCTGGAAACTGAGAATTTAAAATGTTAGAATTCTTACACACCCATTTTGCACAGTGAAAATGTTCATGACACAAGTGTTAGAAGCTGAAGTTGTTGCACGTGTATATGCGTTTTGGAACATTTCCATTTTTAAGAATATCTCCAAAGGTTTCTGTTAAATTGTGCAAAGCAAGCTATAATTCTTGGACTGAGAAAAAACAAGCAGTGAATAAAGAAAATGAAAAAGGTGTTTTAGTTCAAGGATTTTTATAATAACATTTGACACGTTATTTCTTAAAACTATACTTGAAAATTAATTCAGAAAGGCCTGTCATATTGAAAACCGTCATTTCAACAAGATACTGATGGAGGATCTGTGAACAGTGCATAATAACACTTAACAGGAGTGTATTGATCTAGGTCGAGGTGGCCCAGGAAGTGACAGACTTGTGAAAAGTCTAACAGTATTTTATTAAGAATGGTTTCAAAAGCATAAAATATATTAAGTTCTTAAGTGTTATTGAAAATCTGTGAAAGGTAGACACATACCAGACATTTCTGTTTTCCAGTATTCCCCTGCTATATTTTCATTAACCATTTGGAATAGAAATACTCGGTAACATTATGTCTGCACATAAGTTTCTTTACCTTAGGGCAGACCTTAAGGATAAAGTTGCCAGTTTTTTGTTCTAGTTAACTCCTGCCCATGAGATTTTGTTTTCAGCTACTTCTGCTGGTCACTTGCATATGAGCATGCAGGGCTATGCAGAAAGACAATTCAGTTTACATTCATAGAAAAGTGATAGCCCAAAACTCGGGCTATTCCTTTTTTTCATTAGATCTTAGCAATCTCATTACATGGATGAGACAAGAGGTTGGAAGTGAATAAAACTGTCTGATCCAAATAAAGCCAGGCAAGGGTGGGACAATAAAATCAATCAGCACCATATATAATAAGACCTTTTCTTTGAACTGACTGTGCAGTTTTATGGTACTCTAAACCAATCTAAAGCTAGAGAGTCCCATTCCTATTCTCCCACCTCACTCTGTCTCTATATGTCTGACCTGTGTTTTGGTC